AATAAAAAATTTGAAGCCTTGTTAAGTATATCTTGGTTATTGAATAAATAAAACTTGGAAAATATTAAGTAATATAGCAATTTAAAATTATTACATAGTTAAAGTCCTAATGAAAAGGGGGGAAATTTATGAGGTAATTATTATAGAATAAAAATCGTTGGAGATTATATAAATAAAACTCTCATTTGTAGTTAATATTTTATAAAAGAGCACATTTCAATCTCTATAAACTATACATTTTACTATGTAAATATTTCAACTTGTAGTAAAGTATCATTTTAAATTTAAACATTTTTATGATAATCGGTCAGTTTGAAATTTTTGCACGGATAGATCCGAGTCCAAATCCGATTCTGGTATCCGGGTTCATTCATATCGAATTCGGGTTGGAGTCATTTTTTAGGATTCTGTAGAATTGAGACCTTGATATAAAATGCTGTACTAACCTCTACAACAAAGTACAGAGGCAAGCACTTGTTAATAAAATTGCATATTTCGATCATATTTTTTTTTCTATCCTATCACGTGATAATAAAACTTAGGTTCATTTTTAAAATGGGAAATTACATAAAGGAGCTTAGAATATAAAATTGAGTATTATGCTATGCAATATATTATAGTAAAATATAAATAATTAATTTGTAATAAATGACTGAATTGGATAATTATAATTTTATGTAATATTTGTGCTATTTAAAAAAAATTAAAATACATTATAAACTCTGAAATATCCAAAAAATTTGTTTATATAACCAGAGATTTCTTAGTTAGTTTGGTCTCCAAATTCCTGCCCTATCCCACTTAGTTATAGTTATGAACCTTTTTGTTAAAATAAATATTTTCTATAAATAATAATATAGCTTGGCAGAGAAAATATATTATAACCAAAATTTTTATGAAACATATCCTCTCTTGATCATTTAATTAAAAAATATTGTCCAAATAAATTTTATGAGTTTTTTTTAAAATCATATAAAGAATGATAGTTTTTTACGACACATATGGGATACTTATTTAAATGTGAATATATACGAATTAAACAATTTTTATTGTATTCATAATATTTGTGGTTTAAATAGCAATTTATTGGATTTTTCACGACATATAATATAAATTAATGGTTGAGAATTAAATTTACCGTTGTGCTCATTCAATCAAATACCTAGAAGAAAGATATATATAAACTACTAGATGGGCGATTCCTTAATTAAAAGTATAAATACTTAGGAGTCGGCTGTAGTGTCATTTTATGGTTTTCACGTCGACTAGGTGTCTACGATTGATGTCATTTAATAGATGTACAAACCATAAAACAGGGCTATGGCTGACTTCCATGTATGAACACTTTTAAATGCATTTAATAAATGACTCACCAATCTCATTGTATCTAGAATAGATAATATGTAATCAATTTAGATTGAGTTCATGATTTGATCAAGAATCATTAATGAAATATTTAATTTTTCATTAAGCAACAATATTAGATACAAATTTCACACCCAGAATGACGAGAAATATATATTGCTCATAAATCCCCAAAATCTGGCATTTCCTATTAGAAATTGACAGTCAGCATGCATGCCCAATTCAAACCCATCGCTCAATAAATTTTTTCTAAATTTTTGCCTGGCGCGAATAATATTTTGCTACTACTCCCCCGTTAAATTTGCATTATTTAAGGTTTAAATAAAAAATTCCGAATAGGCCGAGTTATAAATGTAATTTTCACAGGTCGCTTCCAATATTTTTTCGCTAGAGGCCTTACAGTTTTGAGCAGGACGGTGTATACCGCTAATTCATATTCCCATATCACATATTTCAATAAATTTCCAGTAAAATCGATTTTTTTTTAAATTTAAAAATCGTTCTCATAGATTTTTTTTTTAAATTGAGAGATTCCTAATATTTCCATGAGCATTACGGATAATTCGTATTTAAGAAAAACTTAACACATGTTCTTTATGGGTTATGAAATAAAATTTTCAGATAATTTGATAACATCTAATAAATTGCACCTCCTATAGGTGCTCGGATTTGAGCAATCTAATATTTTTCTTAAATATATTTTAGAATCGATTATATACGTCGAAGGAAATCCAATATATTTTTCTAGAAGTTCTTTATTATATTCGAAACCATTTTTAGAACCATAAAAACGCAGATTATATTAGTGATTATTTATGCCTCTACGGAAGCGGGAAAGAACATTGAACAGAAAATAAATGGAGAAAAAAGAATTCCAATAGTAGAAGATGTTTCTAATCTACTTAAATGGATGACATCAAAATTAAGATAAGAAATGAAATTTGATTTTAAAGAATCATTATTATTAGATTAAATTATATTATTTTTAACCTCAATGACATTCATATACTAGTCTAGAGTCTAGACACGATTCATTTATTAAAATATATTTAAAAAAGACATATAGAAGAGTCAGCTGTAGGTGCCATTTTGTGGTCTGTACTTTGACAAAAACATTATGATTTTTGATCGAAAAAATTATCATTCTATTTTTTCATACTATATTTTTTAGATTTTTATAATTTAATTTTTTTTATTGGTTATGTGATTTTTTTGTTAAAATTTTGATAATTATAATGAAAATTTTTTTTTTCTTTTTAGCTTTCACCTTTTTAAGGTGGTAAGATCCTTCCTTCTCCACTTTAATACTCATGCTATCTATTTTTATCTAATTTGTATTTCTGATCGATTCCATTTGGATCTCCTACCGGAGTATCGCTATCATGGCCAAGGATATAGTATCTTGATCTTGCACCGAAATATTTATATCGACAGATAACCCACCTGAGTATTCCGCACACAGAAGTATCAAATCGACAGATATCCCACCGGATTATTCTTATCGATTCCACTTCTTCCACCGGAGTATCAATCCCGATGGATCTCCCACCGAGTATCGTTATCAATTCCATTGTATCTTGATAGACATTGAGCTTGAACGGCCCCCGAGGTCACCATTATTCTAGCGCTGGCCACAAAATCGTTATCATCCTTTAATGACCCACGAGTTCAGCTGGCCGTCTTATTTGGTTTATTGGACAAGTATCCTAGTACCCGGCTATCCAATGTCGGTGACAAGGGTGGCATTTCTCAACTCAGAAATTTATCATATCATATGTCTACACATCCTTCATCGAAGAAAAACTCGAAAATTTTTAGTTCCTCACCAGGATTGAGCCTGGGACCTTCTGTTTCCAAGCCTACATCATACACCACTGGGCCACCCGGGCGATAATTATAATGAAAATATAATCGAAAAATGAAATTTTATTAAGTTTTGAAATTTTTTTTCAGTTTTAGGATAACCTTTGAAACATTATAATATTCGATATTTAGTTATATGCTGACAAAAAAATGGCATCTGCAAGTAGAAACTCTAAGTCTGTGTCATTTCCTTACATTAAACACCTTTTTTTGTTTAGAAATTACTTAATTCTGGAATGTTATGTTGAAAAATTATATAATTATAGTATATAATTATAAATAGTTAAATAATTAAATAAATATTATAACACACTTAAATTTGTTTGCTTTATATCACATTTCATTAAGCCAAAAAAAGTTAAATTTTAAAAAAAAGCAATTATAAATGCAAAGTTATTAAGTTTTCTTCTTTTTTTTTACACTTTGGTATTTTGCCAAATATGGTTAAAATAAGGTTAAAATTTCCTAAACAAAAAAAAATCTCTTCAAAATGGGGGAAAATAATACTTTCAAATATATACAAGTCATTTAATCTCTCGTTTTCTTTCGCATAGGAAACTATATATATGTCATATTGGGAGCGTGGGGATTCGGAATCTCTCTATTTTGAATCCTTTGCCGAAGGCGATTTTAAAAAATTTGAAATCCGATTTAACCGGAAATTTTAGCATGTGTAGAGTATTAGCCCTGTAAATTTCAGCCAAATTTGGCCAGACATTTTAGTTATTTTTATATGTTACAAATAAAAATTAATATAAATAGAAGAGTAATTCTAAAGTTCATGGCAAAATTGATTGAAATTAACATTATGGGTACTCTATATATGCTAAAATACAATTCTTATCAAAGTCCTTAGTAAATAATTCAAAATTGAGGGGCTCCGAATCCCCATGGAATTTATTTCCCAATACAACATTCTTTTTTTAAATTTAGACACTAAAAGTGCTCCTTATCCGCAGAGGACATTTTTGGTAAAAGAATTAGTTTTGAAGGCAATCGCTTGTATTTTAAGTTATTCAAAGATTCATGGTTATCATAGATCTATTTTATATTAGCTATTGTATCTTTTTTTTAACCAAAAATACTTTTTAAAAGAAATCTTATAGTGATATTTTTTTTTATCTGTAATAAGAAGATATATTTAATTTATAAAAATTTAACATGGTAAGTAGTTATTGGAAGATTTAACGAAGTAGTAATTTACAGGATGTTTTATTTTCCTCCAAGGCCGCAGATGGTAGAATTAGACTTGGGGTTTAAAATTTTAACCTTTTGGACAGTACATATATCTGTAGCTATGAAAAAACACCTCCTGAATATATTTCGTGTGTATATTTTTAAAAAATTTGATATCTGGGATTTTCATCCGGGTAATCATGTTCTTAGGATTTGTTAATGTTCTAATAATTTATTTATAAATATGCATTTAAGAAAAGTATACATAATAATATGGTTCAATATTTAACTTTTTTATAATTAAAATTTCATGGGGATCATTTAATTAGAGTTGGAAGAATTAAACATCGAATTGGCGGACATTTTGGCTTATTTGTATTTTTTGATTTATATCAAACTTGAGGGCGCCTGACCCTGAATTCAGTTAGCGCCAATTTGCGGTATTCAAAATATGTTGTACATTTGTATTCTTCATCTCAAATTTGTATATTTCACCGCGAATTCGCGCTAACTGTGAATTTAGGGTAATTTCTTAATAATAAATACATGAAAATCATCTCTTTTAAAAAAATAATTATTTAATTATCTTTTCTAACCTGTCTGTCCGTCTACTTTTATTATTTTAATAATAAAAATTCCCAGTGTCTCCCAATAACACTAAAGCGAATAAAATTTCTATCAATTATCAAAAATCCCGAATTTTGCTTTTTGAGAATTGGAAAAGGGTCTATATTTTTTCTTTTAAAATATTTTTTTTTAAAAAAATAATTTTATTATTATTCCATACACATTCCTTTCCCTCAATAAAATATATTTAAAAAAAAAGTATAACTTTTCGAGAATTTAAAGAGTTACTAACATAACAAAAAAAAAATTAATAATGGCAAAAATCAAAAGATAAAATTTGTTTTTCATCCAAAAAAAATAATCAATATATTTTTTTTTCTTTTTATTTAAAAAAAGACCATTTTTGTTATTTTTCATCAACAACATAAATACAAGGGAAAAAAAACTCTTTTTTTTTTCAATCCTGTATTGACGTAATTGAATTGATAAAAATATCTGTATAACAATTAGTTTTATTTTCCTACATAATTAATATATCTAATTTGAGGGGAGGAAGGTATTTGATTTAAAAAATTTACTTTGTGGTTATCTGGTTTAAAAAGTTTTAACTTTTTGGATCGACCATGCTGCTCAAAAAAATATATATATTATAAATAATTCAATAGTAAAAAATTGATGATTCGTAAATTATTAATATAGAGAATTAATGACCAAAATTGAATGAAATAAATAACTAATTATTTGGATATTTATACTACATATTAATAAAAAATAAATAAATGATGAGTTTGTTTCGATTATTTTGAAATCCTGAATAATATGCTTTGCGGATATTTTAAATTAAAGAGGCATGAGAGGATAATCAAAATTATAAGGAATAATTTTGTTGAATTTTTTGCTAAGTTACAAAGATTTCATATGCCATGAATATTTAAAACTTAAACAGATTTTTAGTTTTTTTTTTCAATTTCATGAAACCCCAAATTAGAGAGGTCTACAAGTCGGATAGAAGTCCGGCTTGAAGCATGACTAATTTTTTTTCGGGCGAGACGGGGTTCGAGTATAAAATTTTGTTAAAAATTAGGCGTCCAAAATTTGTTCCTAAAAAAAATCTAAAAGTTATAAAACTTTCAGAAAATTTAATGAAATCATATGTTAACTATTTGAAATTTTCTGGGAATATATTTTGGACACATTTTAATCCTTCCAACCTAAAGAAAAAAAAAGGATAATCGAAGAAAATTCTGGATTTTTTTAAAAATGCGTTTAGTTTGTTTTTAATTAGAAATTTCAGAACCGAGCCAGGTTCGGGTTCAAAAAAAAATAAAATTTGGGCTAAAACAAATATTGAATTTTCGCATCGAAATATATAACACTGTATTTCACGGTTAGCGCGAATTCGCGGTGAAGTATATAGAATATAATATAAAATATAATAATTTTACACTCATTTTTTGTATACTTCTCTAAGAATGTCGGGTTAACTATGAAGGCAGGGTAATGTCATTGCAGGATTTGGAATTCATGGGGTCAGATCAATATAAATTTTACGCAAATTCTATCTAAAAAATAATAATTTATTTTTGTCGATAAATGTATTCTGGGCATGTATGAAGTATCCAACACCTTGAAATTTAATTAATATTGAAATACACTTAATTTGTATTAAATAATATATATTATTTTCTTATAAAAAATACACTAAAGTTTTTCGCGAAAATTTACTGGAATTCATAGAGGTATGTAGACCTACAAAATTTTCGAATCGAATATTAGATTATTCGTATTCTATTCGTATTTTCGAATCGAATAGTAGAATTATTCGTATTCGTTTAAATCGAATAATTTGTTATTCGTATTCGTACGAATAATTAAATAATTATTCGATTCGATTCGTCGAATATTCGATTCGATTCGAAAATTTTATTTATCCATAAATAAAAAAGATCGAATATAAAATTTATTTTGTAAAATTTAACACGAAGGAAGATAAACAAATTTTATTAGTAAGATAAAATAGAAACATACATTCAGTATATATATATATATAATGCAGAAAAATCAATATATCAAGAAAAATCTGATAACAACCAATTTTTTAAACACAAAGTTTTTCGGATTGTTTCCTCTTATAAAATTCTTAAAAAATTTAATGTCTAATTTAGTTTATTTAGCTTCATAAATTTATTAATTGCTGTGATTTAATTATTAAAATAATCATTTTAATATATAAGATAATTAAGATAATAATTTATAAAATCATTAAATATATAGTGATTAATTTTATATAGAAATAAGAATGTTTAACAAAAGGATAATTAAGATATTAATTTATAAAATATTAACAAAATGGATGATAAAAAATTTAGATGTTAATACTAATTAAATTTGTATATAATTGAATATTTATATACCTAAAATATGAAGGAATATATAAGATAGCCTTTTGGAAGTATTTCATATTTATAATAAAATTCTTAAATAATATATTATGGCCAGTTAAATAGATAGTCAATAATACTAAGCTTTGACTGGCCAGAAAGACAACTTTCATATACTTTCTTGGTCCATCTCCATCATATTCAAATTCACAAAACAATTTTCGGAAGTAAATTTAGTATTAAGAAGTTATTCGAATAAAAACAGCTGTTACAATTTTAGAGCTTCTTTTTCCACTAGAAAATTTTATTAAATAAAAATATTATAAATAATTCCTTCAAATAATATATTATTTTCCATATTTAGATTAACTACAAGATAAAAAATAATACGTCAAATAATATATTTTCCTTTTAATTCGAATCGAATAATTTTGTTATTCGTAAAAATCGAATCGAATATCGAATAACGAATAACTCGTTTTAGGTCTAGAGGTATGTCTAATACATGTGCTGGAATAAATTTTATTTTTCAAATTTGAAAGAGATTCAAATGATTCTATAGCCCACTACACCATAAAATATCTATGAGTTTAAAAAATTTTACTTGAGCCCCCCATGTTAAATTGCAATGTTTTGAGTACAGTTATTATAATATAAATTCTTAACCCCCCTTCCTGTTTCTTTTAATAAATATGGAAAAATATTGTAGATTTTATATAATATATATGAGAATTAATATATCAATAATTTATAAAGAATAGGAAGGGACTGTCGCTGGAGGAGCTGACACAAGATCTTCATTGAAATCAGAAGGGGGGTTTAGGGTAGAAGGGTGAAAAATAGTTTTGATTTAGATTTCCTATTTTTCTACTTTTGATTTGTATTTTCTTTTTTTTTTCTAATTTTGGAAAGGGAAGTAGATGGGAGTAAGGGAGGGAGGAGGGTGCAGAAGTCCTTGTGGTATTTTTTAAATAAGAATAAATTAAACATATCAAGCATATTTTCTACATAAAAAATATTTTTATTGTACGTTTGAAAACTATAAATTATAAAACAGGAAAATAATTTTACAAAAATACCTGTCTGCAAAATTATATTTGTAAAGGCATTTAATATAGACACTTAATTAAATAAATTTAATAAAATGAAAATATAAAAATTTTAATATATTTTTAAAATAAAAAATATATTTATAAATTGATAATCCTTTCTAAAATTTTAATATATTTTTTAAATAAAATTGGATGATAATCCTTTTTTTAAAAAAATAAAAACTAAACATTGACGTCGATATGAATCAGGGGAACTTATTTTAGTTATAAATCTCATCGATGTTTTTAAAAGATTATACAATATTAATAATAGCATTAGTGTGCTGCCAAAATTTGGCTAGTTTTATCATTGAAGGAAGGAAGGAAGGAAGGAAGGAAGGAAGGAAGGAAGGAAGGAAGGAAGGAAGGAAGGAAGGAAAAGAAGAAGAGGGAGGGAGAAGTGTAGAGATAAAGGAAAATTAACTTATTTTTCAGATTGCATTTTGAAGGATTTACAATATATAGTTATATTTGGGGATATGGATTTAACTTATAATTTAGTGGCTAGAATTCCATCATTTTACCATTTATTTTCACCTTGTACAACCCTGCTAACATCCATCACCTTGGAAATGAGTTATGTGTAAGTGTTAAACCTATAGAAAATTTGTAGGGACAAATATTAAGAAAGGAAAACTTCTAACTACTCTTTTTTAAAATATAGTTATCATATTATCTTCCAATAAAATAGGAATTGTTGAGTTTAAGAAAAAAAAAATTATATATAGCAACTCAATCAAGCGGAACTCTCGTATGTCGTTTGATTTAAAACTGAAAGGGTGGAAAAAGTGGAAGACTGTTTTTTTTTAAAATATATATTTTTAATATTAACCGAAACTTGAAATACTTTAGAAAAAAAAACAACATCTTATATTTTAATCAAAATTTTTGTTTTGATATTTTTCAAATAAGAAGTATGCTTTTATTAATCCTTTGTGGGTTGTTAATTGGTATTATTTTATTTTATTTCCTTTTCAGATAATATATTTTTTTCGATGATTTTTATTGATTAAAATATTATTGGGATTAACACTATCCATATATATAGTCTCAAAATAATTTCCTTTATTATCGATTTTGGAAATATATATAATTATTTTTTACTATACCGATACCGAAAAACGCTCATAAAAGCATCATTTTTGAAAGTTTGGAAATCAGGGCGGAGTATCTTCTAAGGTAAGAATAAAATTAATTATCAAAACTGAAAATTCGGATTTGATATTATTTAAATATTTTTAATAAATCATTTTAAAAATTTAACTCAACGGGCGGGAACGAGCATTCTGGCATTAACAAAAACAATTAGTAGATTGATTTCTAAAGAAATTATTTTATAGTATATTTATAAAAAAAACACTATGCTTTTTTACATTAAAACCTTTAAAAAAATTATTATTTAATTCACTAGACAAGGAATTTTATGGCAAATCCTACTTCTCTTAACTATTTTTTAAAGTGCAATGTTTAAATAATGATATTTTAAATCTAACAAAATCGTTTTATAATTATTTTTTTATTCTCCATAACTTATCTATTAAAAAAAAATATGCATCCTATTATGGTGTTTAGAATCGACAATTATATTTTTAAAATAATTACAAACTTGAGTGTCCAATTAAGCGAATTGTCTTTCAATTATATTGCCTTATGCTATATACAGGGGAAAAAAAACGTGATTTTTTTTATAAAAAGATATTTGATTTTGTTCATAGTGGTGATATTTGCAAAAATATATCTCAAATATTGAATCAATATATACTTGTAGAAAGTTTACAAAGTATATTTACACTATAGGTTAGCCTC